TTTCTTGAAAGCAACATATTGTTGAATTCAAATTTTTAATCTGCTATCCATTTCTGTTTTATGGGTATATTTGTCCCATTTGCATTCTAAGCTACAGTTACTTGTTGTGTATTTTCCTCCTTCCTATTTTTCCTCCCTATCCTTCTCACCCTATTTAGCCCATCTCTCCTCACTCCTCTGCTTTACTTCTACCCACTACCATACCCTCTTATTCCTTAATCTACCCACCCCTCTAAAAGTCTCTCCCTTATCCCCTCCCCCAACCTATCCCCTTGTCCTCTTATCTGTTTCTGAATTTAGAAGACTTTTATACCCTTCTTGATATATATGCATATACATATATATGGAGAGAGAGAGAGAGAGTTCCCTCTTTAACCCATTCCCAATGAGAGTTAGTTTCCAGCAGTATCCATCCCCCCCTCTACTAGCTTCTTCTGTAACAGTTTTTCCTTTTATGCCTCATTTATATGAGATAATTACTCCTTTTTTATCCCTCCCTATATTTTTATTTTTTTTAAATCACCCCATCATACTCAGCTTAGCCCAAACCTTTCTTTCAAACTACCCAAATAATGATGATAATCACAAGAGTACTGCTAATATTTTCACTTATACAAAGTAAACAATTTGACCTTATTGAGTCCCTTATAATTGGTCTTTAATGTTTACCTGATATTTCTCCTGGGTGTTATATGTTAAATTTTCCCTTAAGATCCAGGGTTTTTGTCATAAAAACCTGAAAGTCTTTCAGTTCCTTAAATTACCTTTTCTTTTTTCATTCAGGATCATACTTAACTTTGCTGGGTAAGTGTCCCTTGGTAGTAACCCCCAGATCTTTTGCTCTGTGAAATATAGAATTCCAAGATCTGTAGTCCTTCAACATAGTAGCTGCTAGGTCTTGTGTAATCATTACTGTAGCTCCATATTTAAATTGTTTTCTTCTTGTTGCTTACAATATTTTCCCCTTAACCTGTGAGCTTTGAAACTTGGCTATGATATTCCCATAAGTTTTCCTCCTGAGATCTCTTTCAGGTGATGATTGGTAGATTTTTTTCTATTTCTGCTTTGCCTTCTTGTTCTAGAACTTCAAGGAAATTTTCCTTGATAATTTCTTATAATACTGTGTCAATATTTTTTTTAATTGTAATTTTCAGGTAGTTTGACTATTCTCATATTATTTCTCCTCAATCTGTTCTCCAGATCAGTTGTTTTTCTGATGAGATGTTTCACTTTCTCTTCTGTTTTTTCATTCTTTTGATTTTGCCTTATGATTTCTTGGTGTCTTAGAACATCATTAGCTTCCTCTTCCCCAATTCTAGCTTTCAAGGAATATTTTCTTCCTTAAGTTTTTGAATCATTATAGCCATTTCCTAAAGAAGTTTAGCTGATGTAAATCAATTATAAGGAAATGACAGCCAGCAGACAGGAGATCTCTTTGCAAATCAGAGATATGGCAACTAAAAGTAATAGCAGTTTAAAATATAAACTCATTTGGAATATATTATCAAGGTGGACAGTATAAGACTGTGAATAGTATTGCCTCGAAAAACTGAAAAGTAGTAGAATGAAAAGTAAGTTTAAAGTAAGCTTGGTGAAAGACCCAACTAAATTAAACTATTCTGATGTTACTTAAGGATTAAACTGCAAGGAGAATAACAGAATAAACAGAGAAAAGATCTGTAAAAATGTTTATAACGTATACTTTTTTGTCATCAAAGACAGTTATACCACCACAAATGGGCTTTGCCATCACCATCTTAGATTTGATGTATTAGGAAATAAAAATGGCACTGAAGAAAACAAAAATGGGGATATGTCTTGCATGACTGAAAAAAAGAAAAAGAAAACAAAGATGGAAAAAAGCATTTGGACAAAACCAAGTGTATACAGAGGAGGTCATACTGGAGGCCACACAATTTTGAAGACATTGAAGGTTGATTCTCAAGGTATTTGAAAGAGGAAGATACTAAATTTAGACCTCATTTCTACCAGGAAATGAAGGCAAATGAGGGCTTATCAAGGACTACCAAATGATATTCCTACTTTTCCATCTCTACACATTTTTATGAAAATAATCTACAGATGTATTGAGGACATCCTTGATGGAAATATGAGAAAGAAGGGAATAGGCCACCTTTCATAAATAATATTCTTTTAAAAATATTTTCATTAATATCTTTTATCTTTACATCACAGTCATTCTCCACACATTGAATGCTTTTTTGTAATTAAAACATTGAATTGAAACAAAAACATCCAGCACAGAAACCTTATTTGACAACGCCTACAATATCCTGTCCTAGTTGTTCCTGACTTCTCTGCTATAACTCAAATAATATTCAGTAGCTGAATACAACTATATAATCACATTATGGATTGAAAGGTGTAGAGAAAACAAGACCCCACCTTAAAGGCTTTGCTTTAACAAGGTGCATCCCACGCATGTATTGTTGTTTGTCCTTCCTTTTCAAAGAGGACCAATGACATTATGGGATGATGTCTTAAGTTGCCCATGAATTTCATTGAAGTGATTGGAGGCAGAGTTATATAAAGTCATTAGTTCCACTCTCTCTTCCCACTTCATTAGAGTCCAATGGCAAGACAAAAGTTAGGACAACTGACAATATCCCAAGATGTAGTAGATGACCTTAGTGTCTTTGATGACTGATCAAGCTCTAAGCTCTCCGCAGTGCCAACTTCAGGAAATTGAATCACTTCCATTTGAATTGTTTTAGGAAGATTTTGAAGATCACCTGGCAGGATAAGATACCAGACATTGAGGTCCTTTTTCAAACTAAACTGCTAAGCATTCAAGCTCTGCTTCAGAGAGTGCAACTCTGGGCAGCTAGGTGGTACACATGATATAGCTCTGGCCTTGGAGTCAGGAGAACCTGAGTTCAAATCTGACCTCAGACACTTGACACTTACTAGCTGTGTGACCCTGGGCAAGTCACTTAACCCCAATTGCCTCACCAAAAAGCAAAAAACAAAACAAAAACAGAGAGCGCAACTCCAATGGGCTGGCCACATTGTTTGAATGCAAAATGTATGCTTGCCAAAAAAACTATTTTATGGAGAACTCATGTAGGACAAGTGTTCACATGGTGGCCAGAAGAAACAATACAAGGACACTCTCAAGGTCTCTCTTAAGAACTTTGGAATTGATTGTGCAACCTGGGAGACACAGACACAGGACCGCTCAGCATGGTGTGCCCACATCAGAGAAGGTGCTGTGCTCTATGAGCAAAGTAGAATTGAAATAGCTTGATAGAAATGCAAGATGCACAAATTTAGATAATCCACCCCAAATGTTCACGGGACTATTTGTCCTGATTTACGGTTAAACATTCCAAGCTCGTATTGGTCTGAACGGCCATAGCATAGTGATGTCATTTTGATCCCCTTCAAGAACGAAGGACAATAACCAATCAACCAGCCTGCTTCAGGCACCATCATGGCCCTTGGAACAAATTGTTCTTATCCACTCATTCCATGGGGGAAGTCTTCACATGCTTGAGGTAGACATCCCCTTAACTCACAGCGGTTTTGAAGCCTGTCGGTTGCCCTCAGCCTGGTTTAGCCTGTCTGCCAAGATGGTTCAGTGAAGACTAGTGCCTCTGGTGTGAGATCTCGCCATGTCCTTTTCAGGGCTGCTCAACCACCTTTGGTGTCTACCTGCATCCAACTCTTACCTGTGGCTCCAAAAAGCTATAAGATAAGCAGTGGCTACACCCCAGTAAAAGCATCTCGGCAGAAGGGTTAAACCAGGTTGACAGGCCTCAACCCCATGGGCAAGTCAGGGGGGATGTCTACCCAAGTGTGTGATGCTTAAATTAAAATTATACAAGATACTTGAAAGAAGTAGCAACAGAGCCCACTTTGTTTGAGGATCCTCTGAGAGTTAATATCAAGCAAAGCATGAAATGGGGAGATGCACAATCACCCAAGCTGTCATGGAGAAGGTTGAGCAGTCTGTTCAAATGGCAAAGAATTCCTACGGATGGGGAGGTCCTCCGGATGCTTTTGTTTTCATATAAATGTGCCATTTGCATGAAACCACAGAACACTGCTGAGTCTCCTAAATAGGACCTATGATCATTCCAAGGAATTTGGCCTAGGCTTCCATGAGCTGATGCAGAGCCTAGAAAACAACACACAAAATGACTTCAAGAGTGGAAATGGAAAGAACAACCACAAAACAATAAAAAACGAATGGCGTAAAGTTACAAAGAACAAGCTCGCCCCCAAAGAAGATACATGAAAGGATACCTACTCACTCCTACTCCTCTGCAGAGGTGGAAGGTCTATGGTTGTGGCACATGGCATGTATCTGTAGAATTTTTGATGTTTCCATTGGTTTTACTGATTTTTTTTCCTATTCTTTTTCATGTTTTTTTCTTTTTAAGGAGTTCTCTGTTATATGGGATGACTTTCTGGGGAAAAAGGGAGAAAGGAGATGGGGAGATTTAGATGACATAAAAATAAAAGCATTACTATTTTTTTTTAAAATAATAATAAAAGGAAGCTAAGTGGCACAGTGGATAGAGCACTGGCCCTGAAGTCAGGACGACCTGAGTTCAAATCTGGCCTCAGACCAAACACTATACTTACTAGCTGTGTGACCCTGGGCAAGTTACTTAACCCCAATTGCCTAAAAAATATTTTTAAATAATAAAAAATAATTTAGCCTAATTTTCCCCCATGGGGGGGGGAACCTAAAGGGATGAAGAATGCCTGTTATCCAGACTATGATATGTAGTTGGATGAATACCACATAGAACTAGTCCATCAGTTTATCTATCTTTGGGCAGAGACTACAAATGGATAATACATGAGCCAGGACCAGAATAGAATGGGATGAGGAAGGCAAGGTGGATTTCCTCTGGGCAATTATAGTGTTCTTTTAAGGACACCACTTTTCTCCCTAAAACGAGGGCCATCTTTTCCAACACTAATATTCTTCACTGTTGTATGACGACAATTTGTGTATCATGTTTCAGAAACTGAAGTTGAAGATTACCCAAAGAGCAATGAAGAGCAACGTGGTGGGTATGAATGAGTTGAAACATATGGCAAGCAAATATGCTGAAGGATCAGTATAAAGGACGTTGTCAGAAAAAATATGACTGAAAAAAAAAGATGGACCAGTCACATAGTGAAAGCAAGGAATAACCAGTGGACTACTGGTTATTATACTAACTATGTGTCCCATTGGTATCCATAATACAACAAGAGAATGTGAGGAAGGCTCCCAGTATGTCTGTGGTGGATTTGGGGGGAGGATTTGGACGAGAGTACCAAAGAATGGGTCCACATGGATACATTGCAATCTATATCATTGGAGGGAGTGGCCATATCACTGAAACCAGGGATTCATTAGCATCTTGGAGTATTCAAAGTATTTATTTTATATAACTAAAGCACGAAAATTGTTTGAATTGTTTAAATTGTTTGAATTGTATGATGGTGAAATTCAGAGATAAGGTTTGTTCTAATCTCTTTTTTATCCTTAGTAGTTGCATATCACAAGTATGCAACTAAATTTAAATATAAATTTACTTGCCAAGCTGACATTCCCCACTGGATTTATCAATTAAGCACACCCATAAAGTATGTATGTGGCCTTCCTTCAAGAACTTAAGACTACAGGGAAGAATGCTCTGGCACTGAAATGCTGATGAGATAGGCAGAGAAAAGCATTGGTAGTAGGTTTTCTATTAACCAGTCAATCATTGACTATTTAGGGTCTTTATGTAATTTTCTGTGATCAAGATTAGGGTGTTAATGAAGAACAAAGATGATCTCTTGTCTTAGTGGGAGAGAAAGTTCAAAGAAATAAGGAAAATCTGACATGCCATGGCTTTTAGCCTTCCCACTAAGTTTCCAATAAAATTACCACATTTACTGACTATTTCTTCTCCTGTGCTACTCAGAGATATAACTAGTTTTTGTTTTTGTAAACAGGAACCAACATGGTTGGGAATACAGTTTAATGCAATACATCTGTGACAGCATTGAGGTCAGTTCCACCATGAAGGCAATTAGTTAGGAGAGAGCTTAGAAGATTGAAAACGTAGGGCCTCAGAGAGCAACCATAGTGACAGAACCCTGGAGGTTAACAGCCCAGGCGCAGTTCTATCCTGTGACGGCAACAATCATCAAGAAGAGAAAATGTAGCTCCTTTCCCCCCCAGATATTGGTGCCCTAAGTCTAAATTCTGTTTGCTATGAGCTAGTTTCAGCTCTGACACTAACGATTATGGGTTGCATTTTTTATTCTATTTTAATAGGTTGAGTTTTATATGTTTTCAAGCTCTCCCAGCCTAATCATTTAGGATTTGGTGAAATAGGCAGCCCCCTGGTACAGTGTCTGAGGAAGACTTTTATTTGCGCTCCGGAATGATGATACCAGCATAATTAGGACAACTAAGGCACACAGTCCTAAAACAGAGTGGTCTAGGCCCAAAACTAATGAAGCATTAGCTTAGGGGAAAGAAAAAAAAACTTTACTAAAAGTGTAAAATATGACTCAAAGCAATATCTGCCCTGGATTTACTGATTTCCTTACGGTGAAAGAGAAAGCAAGGGAATAGCCAGTGAGAAGCTCTAAGATTAGCAAGAATTCCTATTGACTCAGAGATTGTTTCAAACAATCTGGAAAGCTAGCATCCTCTTCTTTAGCAGAAAGGTGTTGCAGAAATTTGATCTAATCCATATCTGTTCTTCCAGTGGAGGACAAACCTTTCCCTCAAATAGGGCAATTTGATCATGTGCCTTCCCTTAGGGCATTCAGGGCAAACCCTGGGAAAAATGTCACAATTGGTTCTGATTAAAAGCAAAACATTTAATAACCCTCCCTAAAGCAGGAGCAGAAGGGAAACCATGGAAGATATAACTGAATTTGGGGCAATGACTTATCTGCCTTGGCCTTCTCTCTCCAAAGGACTGATCTTTTATTTATTGACATATAGTGAAGATGAATCAATCATTCTTCTTGGGTTCCCATTATCAGAGTACAAAAAAAAGGGGAGGGGGGCGTTTGCTTCAGCTTTCACTTGAGTTGAAACATTTCCTGTATTACTCAGGGATGTTAAGAATCAGCTCTCTTTTTCAGTCTTTCCAAATGCTTCCCTACCCTGCAGGCAATTAGATGTACCTGTTCTGTAACTTTTCCCCCACAGTATGAATTGTTGTCCAAATTGCAGTCAACTTTCTCCTGATTGGCTAATTTTGAAAGATACCTCCCCTTCCTGGAAGACCACATGATATGCATTTATTTGTCCTTGATTGGAAGCTCTTTTCCCTTAAAGATCTTTTCTGTTTCCAGGGCTTTTACTCTGTGTAGTTGACTTCCAAATCTATATATCCAGCTTAAATGATGGTCCTTAAGTGACCAATTTCCACCTACTTGTATGACATCTCTGTTTAGAATCCATTGCTAACCTCAAATTCAACATACATCCGAAGAAACTTGCCATTTTCTTTCTGTTCCTGCCTCCTTCTCAATTTGCCTTCCTCTGTTTCCCAGTCTAGAAAACTTGAAATAATTTTGGATTCTATCAATGAGTTAATAGGTCAACCAACAAGCATTTATTAAGCACCATCTGTGTACCAGACACTGTGCTGGGCATGAGGAGCACAAAGAAAAAAGTACCTGTGAGGAATTTTCATTCTATTGAACATGCACAAATATGTACATTCAAAATAGACACAAAATCATTGCAAGATAATTTTTAGCAGAAGGCACTAACAGGGTATCAGAGAAGGCTTCACGTGGAAAAAGCTCTTGAGCTGAGCCTTGAAAGAAACTAGAGATTCTAGGAGGAAGAAGTATGATACATATATGTAGGACAGTCAAAGGTATAGAGAGGGGAGAAGGATTTCCATGTATGGAGAAGAGTGAGAAGACCACTTTGCTAGACTAAAACGTATATTAAAGGGAGCCGGAAAAATAAGTTGAGAAGGTATTTCAAAGCCAAACAGAGAGATTTATATTTGATCCTAGGGGTACTAGGGAGCCACTTGGGTTTATTGAGTTGGGGAGAGACATGGTTAGACCTATACTTTAAGAAAATAATTTTGGTAGTTGTGTGGAGGATGGATTAGAATGAGGAGAGGCCAGAGGCAGGGAGAACCTTTAGGAAGGTGTTAGAATAAATCCAGCAAGGGGTGATGAGAATAGCCAGATAAAGTAAAATATATGACTCCATCCTTGGTAGAATTTGGATACAGGGAGAGAAGGGGGTCAGGCTACAATCCAGATGACAGTACTCTTCCTGCTGCTGCCCTATAACGCTGAGAAAGAATGAGAACCGACACTCAGGTCTCCACCCCCAGCCTTCTTTCCCAACCAGATTTCCCTTGGTCTCTGCTGGGACCGTAGCACTAATTGCTTGTCAATTCTTGACACTATCATTTCTCCCTGGGCCTCACTGAGCTATATTAGGAAAAACAAAAAGACAAAATTTTTCCAACTTTTATGCATTTAATTGCTCAACCACAACTTGTGTTTCATTCCCTCAGATTTTCAAAGACAAAGCAGAACTATTTATTTTGCACTACATGGAGCTGAGAGCCCAAGTCCTTCCAACTAATGAGTACCCTGGTATACAGACAATAGGGGATGGGGAAGGATTGGACTCCTTTCTGCATGTGGTTACCTGCATTGAACACATATGTTAGGTTTAGGATAAAAAAAATACAGTATTATTTCACAGATGCCAAATCCTAATTCCTGGACTTTTTTGTTTTGTTTTGTTGCCAAATGAGATTTTCCTATGTAATGAATCACCACTCCCTACTGAGTATTTGATCTAGCAACTGGACACTGGGACTCTAGACCCAATTCTTCCATATACTAACTGTGTAGTCTAGAGCAAATCAGTTCACTCCCCTGGACCTTAATGTTCTCATCTTTAAAATGGGAGAGGTCTTTCCCCAACCCCAGTGGGAAAAGCATCAGACATGGAGTTAAGAGAGATAGGTTTGAATTTTACATCCAAAACTTTTTAACTGTGTGATAGAGAGTAAGATAGGCTCTCTGAGTCTGGGCTCTTCATCTATAAAATGGAGATACTAAGACATAATACTGTCCATCTCACTTTGATAGAGTGGAATTTTGTTATGATTTTTTTTCTAGCTCTATAAAATAATTTTTTGTGGAATTTGATTGACATGACACTGTGATATCTCGATAGATAGATAGATGGATAGATAGATAGATAGATAGATAGATAGATAGATAGATAGATAGATAGATAGATAGATAGATTTTAAAAGGCAAGAATGCAAATAATGTGAACAGGGAGAGAGACTGACAACCTGCCTTCTTTAGCTAGTCTTGTTCCTGATCCTAGCTTCATTTTCATGACACTGGAAGAATGTTGGATACCAGGAGAAGCTTGATCTTCTAACCCCCTCCCCATATAACTTCTCTGGGTTTAGGGGATCAGAATCTCCCAAATGGGCTCAGTAGAAACAAAGTCATAATTAGGAATTGAAAAGGAGTTAAAAGGAAGTTTCTAATCCCAAATCAGAAAGCTGTTTAGGACCAAGAATCTTGAAGAGATACCAGCAAATAGGCAGACAAAAGAATGAGAGAATGATGAAAAAGAATTTATTAAATACTTACTATGTGCCAGGCATTGTACTATGGACTGAGGATACAAACATTTTCAAGAGCTTATATTCTAATAGAGGAGTAATGACTACAGCAGAATATTTTTATTCTGGGAAGGTATAAAGTGGAGACCCCACATTAAAGTGGTGGAAGGCAGATGGTAGCAATGATTGAGTTATGAAGCAGAAACATGGTCTAAGGGCTAGATCCTACCACCAATCAACTGAGTTCAACTCTAGGGCTAGACCTCCAAAAACGATTGGATTAACTTCCTGAGGGACTGGTGTCTAGGTTCTGGAAGATCAGATACTTAGCTCTAGATCTCAAGTCTGGTGTGGAAGGGCATGACCTAGTAGGGAGGAATAGATCCACAGGTACAAGCAGTGGGTAAGCTGGCCGAAGTGGATGGTTGGTTGCGGATGTGAAACCAAGACTTAAGAAAAGACCTAATCTGGGAGTTTGACTGCGTGGCTGGAGATGATGGCTCAAAAGTCTCAGTTAGGCACCAAGCAAACTGTAGTTTTCTCTGACAAGGTGAGGCTTTCTAGTCACTGCCCTCCAGTGTGTAGTAGCAGAAAGTAGCAGTTAATCCTTAAAAGACTAAATGATTCTGAAGAAACTAAATAACTGAGGCCCAACAGAGAATAGTTCAGAGGCTCTGAGACCATCTGAGGTGCTCAGCAGACAAGACTAACAGAGAGTAATGTGATGACATCACTGAAGGACATTAGTAGCATTGAAGAATTGGAGACGTGAGCTGCTCTGGCTATGAAGATACCCTGTCCACACATGTCCTGATGTTTATACCTTCCATAAGTGTGCCCTGGCCACATGAGCTCTAGGCAGGTACCACCACTTCATACATGTTCCCTGGTCGTATATGTGGTATGTTGAAAAGAGCCCTGGCTCTAGAATCAGAAGACCTGAGTTCAAATTCAGCCTCTGACACATCCTATTAACATGACTTTGGGCAAATCACTTCACCCCCTAGGCCTCAGTTTTCTTATCTATAGGATCAAGAGGTTGGGCTGGATGGTGTCTGGGCTCTAGCCCTTCTAGGTCTGTGTTCCCATGATCCTATGCATTCTCTACTTATATGCTACCCCATGTATGTTCCCTGGTTGCATGCATTCTCTGCATGTGTGCCCTGCCTCACTGTTGGTACGGTAACCTATGGGAGAGTATAGCACATATGTCCATGTTTCTCACAGCAGGTTATAACAGATAGCATGTTATAGAGGGAGTCAGGATATCTGCATACTAATCTTGCCTG